GTGGGGAGCAGTCCACCCACACCCATTTCCCCTCACAGCCCTAGGGGTTTTCAGTCAGCATGGGGATGCTAGCCCAGTGGGTGGAAGGGACAGAGGCAGGCAGAGAGGGGGTTCAGGGAGAGTCAGGGTCCTCCTCAGAGAAGCTGCTCCCTCGCATGAGGTCACAGTGGCCATTGCGATAGACAGTGGGACTGAGGGCCTGAAAGGGGTCAGGCCCACCTCCTTCCAGGTGAGGCGGCAGTAGAAATGGGCGACCCCACAGGAGAGGCCAGCAGGCAAGGCTGTGCTGGGGTGACCAGCTTCACGGTCCTGGGTCACCTCAGATTCCACTTCTAAGGCTGCCATCTGTCCCTCTCCCAACCCCACGGCACCTTCCTGCAGATCAACAGTCTCTCTTCAGATTGACAGTCCTTGACCAGGACGGTGTGATGGGTCCCCAAACATGTGCAAAACATGGGGAACTACTGACGACAGATGAGTTCGCCCCATTAGGCCTCTGCTTACCTGGCTTGTGGGTTAGTCGGGCCTGGCGGTGGGTAGAGTAGAGTAGGATGGAAGGGGGCCGGAGAGGAAGCCAAGCTGTGAGAGGGCGGGGCGAGGCGAGAGGTGGAGGGGTGTGCGTTCAAGGACCCTGGTCCTGTCCCTCATGGGGACCCACTCTCCTTGACAGCCTGCAGGGGACAGAGGAGACATTTACCAGCCAGGACAGGGTGTCCAGCCTCTGACTGGATGACTCCTTCACCTCAACGAGGAATTTAGAAGCCCGGGTCGTAAAGAAAACAATGAGAAATCTGACTGGAATCACCTGGAGACAGAGGTTCTGTGGTTCAATTTAGATCAAGATGGAAAAGAGGCCAGTCCCTTGGTTCAATACCTGCTGGAAACTACAGATGAGAATGATTGATGTGGGCAGGGGTGGAGAAGCTTCCGGAACCCCTCAACAGGGAGCTGGGAGTTCCCCATGCTGAGAGGGCGACAGTAGGATCGAGAAGACACAGAGATGCCACAGCCCGTGGTGCTGCCAACCCAAAGGGAAAGCTTCTCCAGCAGTTCAGTTACCCTCAGCTCTGAGGGTGGGGAAAGGGCAATCTCTTCATTACAAGTACATTACAGTATGGCCTTGGGAACCTGGTGAACGGTCACTATCAGTCAGAACTGCCTCCACAGCAGTGAGATGAATTGGATCAATTAACATTGTGAGAAGTGGAGAAAAGATTGAAATTGCCAAGGAATTAGAAAAAAGTAAAATTGGATTCCAAATCAGTGTTCATGGAAGAAGTAATCAAGAGGTCAAATGACATATGTTGTTATGTTCTGTCGAGTCACTTGTGACTCATAGTAACCCAATGTACAACAGCCCTGAAACCTGCTCTATCCTGTGCCAACCTTATTGTCTCCAACGCACCTACCCTCATTACCCCAGTTACTGAATCAAACTATCTCATCCAGTGTCTTCCTCTCTTGCACTGTTCCTCCACCCTCCCAAGCATGATTTTCCTCTCCAAGGACTGATCTCGCCTTGCGCCTTGCAACATATCTGAAGTATGTCAGATGAGGCTTCAGAACGCTTGACTCCAAGAAACAGCCTAGTTTCGCCCTCTCAAGGATGAACCTGTTTGTTTTCCTAGCAGTGCATGGTGTATATTCAATACTCCTTTCCAGCACCAAAGCTCAAAGGCATCAATTCTCCTTCTATCATCCCTAGTCATTATCCAGCTTTCTGATGCATAGCACGTAATTGCGAAGACCATGGCCTGGATCAGGAAATGACATATTGCACTGGGTAAATCTGCTGCAGAAGACCTCTTTAAAGTGCTAAGAGCAAAGATGTCACTTTGAGGATTAAGGCATGCCTGACCAAACCTTGCCATTTTCAATTGCTTCTTATACACGTCATGGGAGAAGGATGGGCAATCTCCCATGCAATTACTGCCTCTGAAAACTGGTGGAAGGTCAGCTATGAGTTAGTCCGACTCTGTGGCACATAACAACAACAACAAATTATGCATGTGAAAGTTGGGCAATGAATAAAGAAAACTGACAAACTGACGTCTTTGAATTGTGGTGTTGGCCATGGATGTTGGGCTTAGCATGGACTGCCAGAAGAGCAAGCATTCATGTTGGGAGAAATGCAGCAAGAATACTTCTCGGGCTTGTGACAGGAGGGAGCGTGTCCCTGGAGAAAGACTGTGCTCAGTTAAATGGAAGGTAAGCAAATGAGAGGAGGGCCCTCAGTGAGGTGGACGGATGCAGTGCCTGTGACAAGGGGCTCTTGACAGCAACAACCCTGAGCATGGGGCACGACCAGACAGTGCCTGCTTCCACTGGACACAGGGTGGCTGTGTCAGAACGGAGTGGAATGTCCCAACAGCAACAGTGCTCAACGGCCAGGGGGTGGCTTGTGGAGTCTTGAGTTGAGTTTGTACAACGACTTGACCACAAGTAAGATAACTTTCTGAGAGATAACCTCTAAAACCTTGGAATCCCCCCACGGATCATTAGTGTTTTGCTGAGGCTTCTGGGCTACACCCAACCCAACAGGTTATGCTAATGAAGTGACTTTTTTTGTTTTTATTGAGATTTTAATAAAGGTTTTTAAAGAACTTGGGTTTCCAGTCCTTCATTGTTGCATATTTTCCTCCCTGCCTCCCCCCAGATATCGTTCTTAAAAAGTTCTTTCATTATTATACATTTCCCCACCTGACCCCAGACCTGTGCAGCTCTTATTCTGGACTCTTGTCATACAAATAATACCTAATCATATATTCCTTTTATACAGTTGTCTCCCTCATCTGTTTCAATGCCGTGTAAATTATTTAGTAGTGAGAGAAGATCTTCACCCTGAAATCCACAGCGTCCCTTTTCAGCAGGAAGTAGCTAAGAGAATACGCCATCCCCTTTTCCTTATGACTCAGGGTGAAGTCTCTCTCAGGGAGGAGTGATAGGGAATGGCAAAGGACACACTGACAAAGAAGATTAATCAGAACTGGCTTTGACAAGCACTGTGGCATTTGGACAAGAACAAACTGGGAGGAGGGTAGAGAGAATAGTGCAACAATGAATGAATGGAAACCCCAAATCTCTGTAAATGTTTATGAAAATTAATAAAATATAATTTAAAAAATTATTTATGGTGGGGAGTGGCCAGGCCCATGGGTGATAGATGACCCTCATGATATGGACTGACCTCAGAGATGGGGGCTGGAGTTTGAATCACATGAGAACCCAAGACGAACCCCCTGGGCTTCCTGACTGTGAGGCACTGCGAGGGACACTGTGCACCAGAGGCTGTGAGTCTCTCATGAAATTTCCACGTTGGACATCTCCCAAACCCTGTCCTATGATCTCTTCATCCACATCCTTTACATATAATAAAAATAGTAAGTATTGTGTTGGAGGCAAAGACGTGAGGCTTCGTTTATATACTTGGGCATGTGGCCCGGAGAGGTAATTCCTTTGAAAGGGACGTGGGAAGTGGGTGTGGTGGCACATGTGAGGAAGACCCTCAACCAGGAGGGTCGACACAGTTACTGTGGCAAAGGGCTTGAGTGTGTCAGAGATACTGAGGAAGGCACATGATAGGACACGGACACGGTTCAGACTGGTTATTCCTGGGGTCATTATGAGTCATACTCAAATACACAACACCTAAAAACAGCAGCAATATGTTTTCTATGAGTCCTATGGGTCGTTCTAGTGAATGACTGTAACTGAGAAGGTGGTGGGTGAGGACAGGTGGGTAGAAGTTGGGGTCCAGGGAGCCCCTGAGTCCACAAGGGGTATCCTGATGCACTAGAGGAAATCCCTGAATTTGTAGTCAGCAGGTCAGACTTGAAGATTCCCTAAGCTTTCTGGCTGGACTCTGAGGTCTCCAGTCGGCTTGGAATTCTTAGAAACTGTGTCCTTTGTGGGGACCTTGCTCAAGGTGGACAGATCAGAGAATGAGGAGCTGCAGGGGCAGCTGCATCGGGACAGGGGGGGACAGAAGTGACGTACATAACCCAGGGAAGAAGGATTTTGCTGGTGTAAGTCAAGGGTCTTGGGATTGGAGCATATTTCTGGGTGGGGACTACAATCTCAAAGGCTAGCGGTTCAAATCCACTAGCTGCTCTCAGGGAGAAGGACGGGCAATTTCCTCCTGTGTGATTTCCTGCTTCTGAAAACCCGCTGTGGGGTCAGCTAAGGGTCAGTTTCAACTCCACCACACCCAACAACAACAAGAGGACGAGGGCCGAGCAGGTGAGGTGGCGGCCTGCTTTTGCCAGTATTGGGATCCCATTGGGAGAAGGCTCTAGAGGTTTGGGTTCACTACCATCGTCGACTACTGATGAGTGGACTCACAGCCACCCTATGATGGGGCAGAAGGGTCCCACAGTGTCCCCAAGGCTGTGATTTTTAAGGACTGCCCCTTCTTGCCCAGAGCAGCTGATGGGTATGAAGCACTCAGTGTTAGCAGCCCAGCGCTTAACCACTGTACCACTCTCACCTGGTCCCTATCACCGTTCTGCTTGACCTGGCCGGTGGAGAGATGGTGTCCCAATCCCACCCTCACATTTCCTGGGTCCAGCTGGGCAGGCTCATCTGACAGCTCCCACTCAATTGGCTCAATTCAGTCACATGCTCATACCTGGACCACACCCCTTTCATTAATACTGCATGCTGATTGGACAGGCTTGAGTAATATGCTCCAATCCTGAAGCTTCATCTGGATAACCCAGGAAAGACCAGAAAGGCTGGAATGAAAAGTTATTCAGGGATGTTGCTGGGTTTCCGAGTGGCAGGAACGAGTCCACCTCGAGATCAGCATCAAATTATGTGATACGTGGTGGGCGAGGGGAGTTGTGTGTGTGTGTGTGTGTGTGGAGCAGGGAACAAGGTCCAAGTTCATGGTTTGTCCCTGGGACCACAGGCAGGTGGGGAGGGGAGTCATATCCTGGGCACAGACAGCTTCCCATCCCTGCACTGTGGGCTTTTTAATAATGACACACAGAGGCCAGGGGTCCATTTAAAAATCATTTTATTATTAACATCATCTTCCCATTTACCAAGTGTCTGTCATGTATAAGGAATGTCGGTAAATATTCCATTTGAAGCTTCTTTGTACATATTTCCATCGATAAATAAACTCTGAATTCACATAAAAAAGTTAAACTTAAATAACTCATATTTCCTTCTCTTGTAACAGGCATATATTGGTAAAATATAAATATTCTTGGACGTAGGCTTTGTTCTAAGAGGACAGGGGTTTGTCACATGGTACAATTATCCACAACAAAATCAAGAAATTGTCCTGGCCGGGTCTGGTGCTGAGGTGGGAAACGGCAGATTCACATTCGGTTTCTGGGCCAAGGGCGGGGCAGCAGTGATGGTGAGGAGAGTTTTCTTTACAGCTCTGATAAAAATAATCTGTTCTGCCACTGCATTTTAACTTTGAATATACTCTTCTACATTTGCTGATTAATTCCATAATCTTTTTACTGAAGATTCTGATGACAACTAACAAAATATGGCACGTAATCCATTTTTCAACAAGGTCCCAAGTGTCACCGGGGCTGACATGATAATGCACAGAAACGCCCGCAGAGCGGTCAGCGGGCTTGTCTGGTTAGGTCACGGTGGTGAGTTGAACCTTCATCTCTGGCCTCAGTGCTCGTCGGTCACCCCGTGGGGGCGATCAGACATCCCTGGTGGCCCAGCTGGCTCAGAGCACCCGGGGGATGATGGTGAAGGGCACGGCCGGGCTGCTGGCCTCCAGCTCCAGGGCCGTCAGGAAGCACTCCGTGGCTGCCGTGTCGTTACCCTGGGCTTGGAGGACCTCGCCCAGCCCGTTCCAGACCTCGTGGGCCGTTGAGTTGACCTGGACAGCGTCTCGGAGGATCTTCTCTGCTAGGCTGTAGCGGCCCAGCTGGTGAAGAAGCAGAGCCTGCAGATGGTGGGGTAGGGTGGGGTGGGGGGTGGGGGGGAAGACAGACAGACAGATAGACTGTTAAAAGAACCTGAGTTCTGATTCCTCCTCAACTTTCCAGCAAGTTCCTTGTAGGGAGGGAGGCAGCTGCCTTGAGCTGGGCATGAAGTTAAGTCCCCTGCCACTTGGACCATATGAAGATGCCGATGTCCACACTGGAGAACCATAACAATGTCCATTTCATATGGTTCATCTGAATGCTTACCAACCTGGAATGGGATGGTCCAAGGGCCACCTGTACCGTCATCCTGGCTGGTACCAGGCGAAACGTGTCTACAGAGGACTGTACCTTTGTCCCCTCTTTTACACCTAAAGACACGCCAGTTATGACACGACAACAGATTTTTTTTAAAGCCTCTCACGGTCCCCCTTCTTGATTAGCAGTGTCCCCCGCAGGGCCCCAGGCACATTGGTCTTTCTACAGGTTTTAATCAGCATGCGCGTGCTATTCCCCGAACAGCCTGTTATGACTGTGTTTCTGAGCTTCCATCTCTAGACCTGTCACCTGGCGGACACACGCCATTTACTCAAGCCCACCCCCATGGCACTTGGGGCTTGTATCCAACTGTTTTGCTATTATTAGGAACCGAGCTGTGATGAACGTCTTTCTGGATCCGATTTTTCAATGCTTTCATAACCCTGGAAACCTTTGGTTAAATAGAACCTTAGTCAGAATTCCTACAAACAGTGTGAATAGAACAGAGAGAGAGATGGATGTTTTTCAGGGTGTCAGATGATGGGGAGAAGGAGCTCAGGGGTGTCTTTATGAAGGTCCTGACAGCGGTCCTGCCGGGGCTCAGTAAACCAGTGACAACTATTCAGGGGTACTTCCTGGGCGGGGGGGGGGGGGGGGGGGGACAGCCCCCAAGTGAAGCCAGAGGATGAGACATTTTTAGTGTTCTTGAAAGATTTTTGAAATTATATTCCCAAAGGGTTGTATCACTTTTTTACAGCCATTAACACAGGAACAGCGCCCATCACTGCTCTTCATGTCTGTAATTTCACTAGTGGGACATTCTGAAATGCACCCTCTAAAACCCATATATTATCATATTATCATGTTGTTGTTAAGTGCCGTTGAGTCGTAGGCTACTCATAGTGACACTATGAGGGAAAGTCCTCAACACCTGGGTGACTTTCATCCTCTCTCCAGGTTCACAGAGTTTCCGGAGGCAAGCTATTATGGAAGTGGATGCCGCTCCTGCTTCCAAGCTTGTTTCAACCAGGGAGCTCCACCAAACACTGTCCACCATGGATAACCATTAACGCACTTGACACATTAGTGTCACAGTGTTCAGTTTCACAGCAACCACAAGTTAACCTCTGTACGGCAAGTGGACAAACCAAGACTATACGACCTAGAAGAATGCTTGAACAAAAACAATGAAGAACAGGCCTTAGGGCTGCGGATTAGAAGTCACCCACCTTTGGCTTGGTAGCACTGCTTTCTCTCCACTAGGCCAAATGATCTCTATGTTGGTATTATTGTTGTTAAGTGCCGTCGAGTCATAGGCGACTCATAGCGACCCTATGAACGAAAGTCCTCAACACTTGTGTGACTTTCATTCTTTTTCCAGGTCCATTATCATATATAGTATTCCAGGGCCAGGCCCTGGACATGGACTTCACCCTTGGTAAAAGGTGGGGGAGGGCCCTCCACAAGGGCTGCCACCATGGCTGCAGCAGTGGACACTCACATAGTGGTGATTGTCAGGATGCGTCTGGGGTGGGTGGCTGGACACTCAAGGGCCACTATGCGTCAGCGACAACTCGCTGGCTCCTGACCACCATCTACTCCGTTGTGGGGATCTGCCCCATGAGCAACATGTGAATTTCAGCCTTGATGTGTTTGTTGAACTTGACACACAACAGACCTCCATGCTTTGCTGGCCTGTTGTTTGACTTCTGAAAATTTTCCTCTCTAAATAAATATTTTTTTCATCTTTGAAAGTGAATTCTTTGGTGATTTTTTAAAAAAAAAAATCAAGTCAAAGTTTAGTAAGTTATCTTTTCAAAGAACCCACGAAAGATCAATTCTGTGACTTGTCCTTTGGTTTTAAGGCAGTTCTCTGTTTTTTACTTGACATGTGATAGGAATCCAAATGCATTTCTTCTACGCAGAGACACATGCTAACTTGTCCTCCCATTCTGCCCTTTGGTAAGATGCCGTCTGTGTCACAGAGGAATTATGACACTAAACAGCCCATTTCAGGGACTTTGCTGATTTTTCTGATCCACAGACCTAACTTCTTGTCAGTCCACAGTTTAATTTCTGTTCCTCTAACGATGAACTTTCTTTGCCTTCTGCTCTTTACTTTTGGTCTGTTTCCTGACAGCCTCAGTCTGGACTCTTCCAGATACACTTTAAAGTCACTTGTCCAGTCCCTCGGGGGCTGTAACTATACTGAATCCCTGAACTCAAGGGAGGCCAACACTGTCTGGGTTTACCCCACTGTGACCGATTCCCAGCTCCTCACACCGCCTCCTCTGTGCTTAGCCCGCAAAGCCTTTCATTTCTTTCATGTGCTTGTGTCCATTGCCCCAGCTGGCCCTTAAGCCTGACTTCACCAATAGGCAAGGGCAGCTGGGGGACCCTGGGAGCAGGGCAGTTGGGTAGACATGGCTGCCTGAGGGCTGACAGTGGCCGGACCCACAGGGCATGCAGCCAGCTGAGTCCACGTGGACACCTTTCCTGAAAGAGTCCTGAGGGAGGTGGGAGGACACCTTTGTGGACAGTGCCCAGGCCCTTACTCATGTGTGGGTGGTCTCTCCAGGATGTGGGGCATCGAAGGTGGCACCTGACTTCCAGAGTCTGCAGCAGCCACTGAGAAGCCAGGGCCAGAGCCTGTGGCCCTGCAGGGGAGCCAGCCAATGGCCTCAGGCTGACTGGGGAGAGCCAATCAAGTAGCACCCCAACCTGGGGCAGAGGGGGGAGTTGTGTGGGGGATGGAAAGGTGGGCACGCTGCACCTTATCCCAGCTTTGGGAGGGGAAGGGAGCTGCAGGATGCTTCCTGGGCTTGGCGGGTGGGAGGGGGGCACCCAGCTCTGCTGAAGGCACAGCGGGCTTCACTCTGGGAGGAGATGAGAATGAAGTCACCTCTGGCCCCTTTCTTATGAACTCTTGTGCGTGTGATAAGAGTAGGGAGCTCTGGTGGCCTAGTGGAAAGAAGCTGCGCTGCTATCCCAAAAGCACACGTTCAAATCCACCAGCTGCTCCACAGGAAAGGGAAGGGCAATCTCCTTCTGGAGGGTCAGCTCCAGGTGGGTTCTGACTCAACGGCCCTAGTGGTAAGAAGCACGCGTGGGGTCCAGACAGGACGCTGTTGCTGCTGTTCGCTGTGGAGTCAGTCTGACATAAAGTGAACCCACACACAACAGAATCAAACGCTGCCAGCCCTGTGCCACCCTGAGTATCTCTGCCGTGTAAGAGAGAAAACCATCTCCCAGGATGCTGCGGTCCCCGTCGGATCCCCTTAGGAGAATGCCTGCCTTCTTGACAGCCTCACTTCCCACAAGGTCGGACGGAGCGGATGGGAGGCCCTTTGCTGGACTGCAATCAGCAGGATGTGAGACCCGGTGCCCTGTGTCCTGAGGGAGGTTATCACCCTGCTTTTATGGTGGGACACTGTCTTTTACCCAAGGTGGGAAGGGCTGTGAGCCATGGAGAGGAAAGACCAGCTGCCTGACCAAAGCTCAAAACCGCTTGGACCCATTGCCGTGGACGCACAGCTGACCCTCGTGCAGGGTGTCAGGGGCTGTAGATGGTGTGGGAGGAGAGTGCCCATCTTGCTCCTGAAGACCTACTGTGGATTTGAACCGCCAGACAGATGCCACCTTTGGGGCAGGAGCGCAGCTCACTACAGAGTACGTCACCAGAGCTCCCTGCCTGATGGAAGGGGCTGCATGGCTCTTCACAGGGCGGTTACTTCCCAGAGCCAATCGGCAGACAGGGAGGTGCCTGCTGGTAAACGGATGATGATAAGCCCCCTGGTAGGACAGAACGAAGTCCTCTGTGACACCCCTGCAGAGGGGGCTTGTGACTTGGTTCCACCAGGCTCTTCGCCACCACCTGTGTGCAGGTTCCTGTATGGTGGTGGCTTGTGTGGGGCTATGATGCTGGACGTTATACCACCAGTATTAAAAATACCACGTTGGCATACTATGATGGGCAGGTTTCAGCAGAGCATCCTAAGACTAGGAAGAAAGGCCTGGCGATCTCCTTTCAGTAGGTGGCCAGTGAAAACCGTCCAATTACAACAGCAGACTGTGCGGCTCACGGGCTCTGGGTCACTAGGAGGGTGACTGACTAAGGAGACGGTTAGGATTGGTGAAGTGGGGTGCCCAGCACGGTGGCCCACAGCTGTGAGAATGGCTTCAAATGTGCTGGCGTGGGGATGACACAGAACTAGGCAGTGCTGAGTGCTGGAGCAGAATACAGGGTCCTGGTGAGTCCACCTGGTGGCAGCTCACACCAGGCTCTGCCCCTGGGCTGGCTTCTTCTTCTACTCGGCACCAGGCGCTGTGGGCACTGCCAGCCCCTCTGCTCATACTGTCATCACTTTAGAGTCAAGTTCAGAGGGGCCCTGTGCTGGGAGGTCCCAGGGTTGGGAGGATGGAGCTGCAGGGGCGCCCAGGCATGCCTGACGCAAAGCCTCGGCGGCTCTGTTCTCACGCCCACCTGCCCACCTCCCTGTCAGGGGCTGGTCTGAGACTTAGCCAGCGGAAGCTCTGTGGGTCAACCTTGTCCCCTGCCACTGGATGTGGGCAACAGCTAACAGGGAAGGGGAGGCCGGCCTGTGCCTTCACTTCCCACCCCCCCCTGCTGACAGGGCTGCTGCTTCCTGTGACGATGATGAGGGAGACCTCTCTGCTCAGAGACAGCTTTCCTCTGTCCTGCTGCCTGGGGTCCCATGGACTGGCTGTGATCTGAAGCTGCAAGTGCCAAAGGCCTGGGGTG